TTCCCTAAAAGGTTCGCGAGGTGTTAACAGGAGGAATTGTTTCTACAGCTTTTTGCCTGTTATACAAATTATTTACTCTGAAGTTAACTCGCAAGCAAGTGATGGGTCTCATAACCCACACAGACTCTCCGTATATTAGAGCCCTCGGATTTATGTACATAAGGTAATCATGTATTTATCTACATTTTCATAAGTATCTCATTTTAATTCACATGAGCCTAATCTATCTTTTGTAATTCTAGGTACACACAGCCCCCTACAGATCTATGGGATTGGTTTGAGTCCTTCCTTGATGACGAAGAGGTATGTCAACAAGGGTAATAGTTTCTTTTTCTGATTATACTCTCATGTTTTTAATCTTCTATTTATTGGAGGTTTAATGCCTTCTAGAATTTTCTGTGGTTAAATTTATCTCAAATACTTTAGGAATTAATGTCCTTTTACTAAGATTTGGCTTTTTATATATATTAGGTTAATTTTTCTTAACTTTTATTCATTTTTAAGTTTAAATGTTCTTTGATAATTATTAAGACTTTTCTCTTTCTAATTGTTTCTGGTATTGATCTTGACTTGTATAGTCGATAGTGATTTTCTAAGGTGGACCATGCTCAAGATTAAAGTGATAAGACATGCTCGTAGAATACTAATCATAGCTTTTCTCCCCTGAAACTTTTTAGTTCTTACCTTCTAACTTCCAAATATTAATGTTCCCACTTGCATAGAAGCACAGAAGTGAAAAGCTGGGTGAAACTTAAGTAGGCCAAGAGTTAAGATTTAAGATGACTTGTTCAAGGTGACCAAAATATTTCAGTTCTAGCTTTCTGACTCCTGTTATATATACTATACATACTTACAAAGCTAGTAACCTTTTTTTAAAATTATTTCAGGTTTTGTTTTCATTATAAATCTAGTTTGCCATTCACGCTTAACAAGACTGAGCTTATTAAATATGAAAAGAGTTACTTTGGGAAACTTTGTCAGATTTAAGTCATAAATGTTTTATTAATAGGCTTACATAGTGAAGCCTAAGAGCTCAAAGCAGACTTAACAGAGCTTTATTGTCCACATATCTACCCTTACCACTGCTTTATGTTTTAGGAGTCCTTTTTATTTTATTTGATTATTAGTGTATATATTTTTTAGATTATTTTTTTTATTGTTTTATTGCTTAAAGTATTACAAAGGGTATTACATATGTGTCCCTTTTTCCCCCGCCCTTGACAATCCCCTGGCCTCCCCTACCCCCCAGTGTCTTATGTCCATGGGTTATGCTTATATGCATGCATACAAGTCCTTTGGTTGATCTCTTACTCTCCCTGCCCCCCAACCCTCCCCAGCCTTCCCGCTGCAGTTTGACAATCTGTTTGAGGCAGCTCTGCCTCTGTATCTATTTTTGTTCATAAGTTTATAATGGTCTTTATTACCCATAAATGAGTGAAATCGTGTGGTATTTTTCCTTCAAGTATATATTTTTTAAATTGTCCTTGTGCCTTTAAGATCCAGCCTATACTCAGGAAAGCCCTCCTAAACTGAGAGGGAGGTTGCTGTGTGTCCTGCCAGACTTTCCTGTTACAGCTGAGCAGAGGGGAGCAGAGAGAGCATAGGCCAGGACAAGTCAGTGGTCCTGTTATTACGGGTTAGCTAAAGAGTTTGTTGAATTAAAGGATAGGTGTAATAGAAATCTTTCTAGTGTTGATATACACACCTAAAAAATGATCCCATATAAACATAGCAAAATTTTGTCTGCATTTTTTGGGGGCCTGTTTACGGGGTGGTTCAGTATCTCAGAAGAAGCAAAAGGTGTGTGTTAGGTCATAAACTACAATCTTTAAACTATTTTTCTTTTTAGATGAGATTTTTTTTTAGGCTGAAACACTTTATATTTAAAAAGCATGTGTTCTTTTAATAATTGGTATTAGGTATGTTTCTGAATTCTTCTGTGTAATCTGTTTATTGTGTTTACAAATCTGAGGATCTCTATTTAAGCTAACTTATTGTTTTCTTCCTTAGATATCTGCAGCGATTATATTTGGAAATACTGTATATCTGAACACTTAAATGTGTGTGAGTGCAAGCAGTTTTACCTGTAGCTCTTGTTTTCCTGTTTAGATAACAAATCTCACTTTCCTTGTGTGCTTGCACTATAGGTTTGGGACTGACAATAGCTGACTAACATGTCCTGAGCTGTGAGAGGGCATAGCAAGAAGGCCTTCATGCGGTAATGACCCTTTTCAGAGACAATGGTCATCATGGATTATGCGTTTCCAATTATTTGTTCATTTATTTATTTTCTACATGACTAAATTAGAAACCTCACTGCTTCATGGCAGTTGGTTTGCTATTGCTTCCAGTTTTACTAGGGCTTCATTTTATATTAGGGCTGTTGAAAGATAGTCTTTAGACAGTAACTGTCTGAATAGTTCATATGTAGCTAGGTCACAGCACTAGGAATGATGTGTGCAAACATTTCCACAGAAGCAATGTATACTTAGAAGGTATGTGGAATGCAAATTTAAGTTGATTGTTCCACATAGCTAAGTAATGTAAGGGACTGTTTCATATTCTTACTGAGCTCCGTTCTCTCTATGCCCAGGAGGCTGCAGGTTTTGTTCGTACCTGCATGCACACACTAAGCCCGAGTATTTCTCTATCATTCATTACCAGAATAGAAGGGTACACATTGAAATTGTCCTGTTAGATTTTTTTTTTTGTATTTGAGATTCCAAAGATGGTAATTTTTTAATAGTATTTATGAACATGTTGAAATAATTTTTTTTGACGGTTAGGGTATCTTTTGTGTTTCTGTAGGACCTAGATGTGAAGGCTGGCGGAGGCTGTGTAATGACCATTGGAGAAATGTTGCGGTCTTTTCTCACAAAACTGGAGTGGTTTTCTACCTTGTTTCCAAGAATTCCAGTTCCCGTTCAGAAGAATATCGATCAACAGATTAAAACCCGGCCGAGAAAAATCAAGAAAGATGGGAAGGAGGGCGCTGAGGAAATAGACAGACATGTTGAACGAAGGCGTTCAAGGTAATTAACTCTTGAATTAAGCTTATTTTTAAAACATGGTTTATACAAGGTCCTTGAAACCAGTGGCAAGTTTTGTTTATAGTGTTCATTTTATGAGTTTGTCACTTTTCCTCCCGAAAGGTCATTTTCTGCCTTTAATGCCATCTGCAGCAAAATCATGTATCTGTAAATGTGAACAAGCAAGTTTTTTGCTTTAATCATTCTTTTTTTAAAAAAAATAATATTGATTTTTTACAGAGAGGAAGGGAGAGGGATAGAGAGTTAGAAACATTGATGAGAGAGAAACATCTATCAGCTGCCTCCTGCACACCCCATTTATCAGCTGCCTCCTGCACACCCCCTACTGGGGATGCGCCAGCAACCAAGGTACATGCTCTTGACTGGAATCGAAACTGGGACCCTTGAGTCCGCAGCTGACGTTCTATCCACTGAGCCAAACTGGTTAGGGCTAATCATTCTTGATATGTTCATGTAAGCTAGGGATTTAAATTAATAACACTTGTGTAAATTAAATTTTTTATAATGTTTAATTCAGATTTTTTCTCTCCTCCCTCTTTCTTAAATATTAGGTCTCCAAGGAGATCACTAAGCCCACGGAGGTCCCCAAGAAGATCAAGAAGTCGAAGCCATCATCGGGAGGGCCATGGGTGTTCTAGTTTTGATCGAGAATTAGAAAGAGAGAAAGAACGCCAGCGTCTAGAGCGTGAAGCCAAAGAAAGAGAGAAAGAAAGGCGAAGATCCCGGAGTATTGATCGGGGCTTAGATCGCAGGCATAGCAGGAGAAGGGAAAGGCATAGAAGTCGCAGTCGGAGTCGTGATAGGAAAGGAGACAGAAGGGACAGGGATCGGGAAAGAGAAAAAGAAAATGAGAGGGGTAGAAGGCGCGATCGTGACTATGACAAGGAAAGAGGTAATGACCGAGAAAAGGAGCGAGAGAGATCAAGAGAACGGTCCAAGGAGCGGAGAAGTAGGGGCGAGGTGGAAGAAAAAAAACATAAAGAAGACAAAGATGATAGGCGGCACAGGGATGACAAAAAAGATTCCAAAAAAGAGAAAAAACACAGTAGAAGCAGAAGCAGAGAAAGGAAGCATAGAAGTAGGAGTAGAAGTAGGAATGCAGGGAAACGGAGTAGAAGCAGGAGCAAGGAGAAATCCAGTAAGCACAAGAGCGAAAGCAAGGAGAAGTCAAATAAACGAAGTCGGAGTGGCAGTCAAGGAAGAACTGACAGTGCTGAAAAAAGAAAACGAGAGCGGAGCCCCAGCAAAGATAAATCTAGAAAGCGTAGCGGCAGCAAAGAACGTGCCCACAAACGGGATCACAGTGATAGCAAGGACCAGTCTGACCAACACGATCAGCGAAGGAGCCAAAGCGCAGAACCAGAGAGCCAAGAAAAACCACAAAAAAACAAAGACGAGACTGTGTGAACATGCTTTGTGAAAGTGGATCACATTGAATCCTATAAATCTTTGATTAAATCTGCTTTTTCCCCTCCCGAGTTGAGATTGTTGCGGTAGTGCGTAGTCTTCAAGCTCCCGTAGGCTGCATTTTCATTTCCTCTTTTGTTTAGGGAAGTGCCTTTGTAATCCCATTTATTGCATTGATGTTTTCACCCAATTGTTGAGTTTGATACATGATGCACAGATTGTTCTTGCATTTTTACTGTTTAGTTTTTGAAATGTACAGTCTGTACATATGTCCTGAAAATGTTTTACTTTCTTTGGCATGGTTGCCATGTTGGTTAAATTTGTATAAGGCAATAAACTGCCACTAATTCTATTTTTGTTTGTAGGTGTGGGATTATGGTTTGTGTACTGAAGTTTAGCATGGCTGTGCTTTTCGTAATAGAATGCTAAAGACTTTGACAATGGATCTTGGATGTTTGTTATAGGAAAATGCTTTCGATGTACATGAAGGCAGCAGTTGTAGGATTAACATTCTTGTCCACTGTATATTATCTTGGAAGACTCTTGTTAATATGTTATACTTAATATTCTCCACAGTAACTTTAGAGAGAATTTATGAGTAGTTTCTGATACAGAGGTTTAAATTAGGCTGTGATGTGATCAAAAGTCCTTTTAGCATTCTACCTCAAAGGGACACTGTTAGTATGCCTAAAATTTATTCACGTAGTTTTTTTAATTGAAAAAATACATGACATGTATCTTTTTTTAATTTCTCAGATTTTAAAGTACTATATTAAAGGGAAAAAAACGTCTAAAGCCCAGCATTCTTGCAGCAACCCTGTACTAACATGAAATTGGGAGAGGGTGGGGCAGATGAGTAGAGAACTAGATTCAAGCCTCAAGCTTCCAAAGCATTTTTATAAATGGAAAATACTTAAATTATAAAACAGCTTGATATAGTGTCCTTTTTTTAAAATTCAAAACTTTTTTATTGATAATGAAGATTGCTGTTTGAGTTTTTAAACTTAATGTAGAACAGAGAAGTATTAAAAGTAATGCTATGCTGCATTATTTAAGATTATTGGCAAATTATTTGATAGATTGTTCTTATTACTTGTATTCTGATTACAGAGAAGGATCATGAGTGTGGAATAAATACTGGATTAAATCCTTTTTCCTGGGTGTTGACTTTTCCCCTATGTGTGGATACTTTTAAAAAGTATTTTTGTGGAAATGGGTGAAATGTTGGTAGAGTCACACTGTGGAGAGGTATATTTCAGTGAATTTGAAGCGTGTAGACTAGAATTGGACATAGGTCAATACTCTGTAATCCTTACTAGAGTTCTTAATGGCAGTTCCCTTTGTTCAAGGGTGTTGTATTACTGGATTGTTCTTTGGATTGGGTGATTACTCAGTTTCATATCAAAGGTGCTTATCGAGGTACTTTGTACTTGGATTACATAATTGGACTTGAAAGAATTTGTATAAGTTGACTCATTTAATTTTTTTTTAGAGCAGAGAAACAAGCTCACAGTGATTTGTTCAGTCAGTGCCAGGACTAACATGAGTGTTCCTGAAATCATATCGTATTAACATCTATTTGATCTCACCTTTTATTGGCCAACTGATGGGCACTCAGAAGTCACCTGGCAAAATCGTTAAATGGAGCAAACAAGTATATTTGAAGAGCCGGCCCTTTATATGTGGGCTTAACATTTGTACCTACCTAATTCCAGAAAAATCTCATTAAATGAAGACATTTCTCTGAAAATGCTATGCCTTTTTTTTTTTTGAAGAGAAGATTTTCATCTTAAATTGAGATCAAGTTGACACCACACAGAAATTAGAAGACTACTCTAGAGTAATGAAAAGCAGTAGATATATCACATGGAAAATATTTTTGGTATACCCAAATTAAAGGTGCTACTCCTTGGAATATAGTTCTACCTGAAATGTTAATTCAGTGGTGTATTTTAAGTAAAATGTGAAAAGGATTTACTTCAAATGAAGGTGAAAATTTCTATCAAGCTGCATTTGATTTCCTGTGACATTTAAAGTTAAGTTTGCTTTTGAGGAACATTTTGATAGAACATGCCATACTAGTTAATGTCGAATATATTCAGGATTAATTCTTCCGACACAAGAAAACTTGGGAAGTTTTTGATAGAGTTTAATATAACTAGCAGCCTCCATCCAGTTTTCTCAACTTACTGAAATGGTTTCATACTTAAATTTATCATACTTTTCATCTGTTTTCTAATGTTCAGTTTATAATTACATAATATGCATGGGCTAATTTAGTATCAATCTTGAGATTTTAGTAGAAAATGTCCATATAAATGCTCAACTAATCTTAGTTAAATTTAGTTACTTAATTCTTAACCTTTGAGTTATGGGTCCCTTTTTAGGAATCTAATGAAAGCTACAGATCATGTCTAGAAAAATAAAGGCTCGCCCTGGCTGGATAGCTCGGTTAGGGTGTTGTCCTGATAGGCCACGGTTGGGGTTTGATCCCTGGTCAGGAACATACAAGCAGCAACCAATGAATGCATGAGATGAAGCAGCAAATCAAAACTATGTAAAACAAAAGGGCTCAAATTTGCACAGAATTTCAAAAGGACTAAATTTGGGCTTTTATGCTATTTACTTACTGATTTTTACCAACCTGTGATTAGGTGTCCATTAGTTAGGAATGAATAGCAAGTTACTGGGAGAATTGCAAGACAAAGTTTGGGTTTGGGGGGGGGGGGGGGGGGGAGTGGAGTTAAAAAATGAAATTAGAACAAAAAGGTAATATTCACTTATTTCCCTTCTGCAAAAGAGTTTCCTTTGTGAATATAAGTAGTTTACTTGAATTGAGATGAGGCCCAGTTTGTAAGTTTTTTTTAACTGATTCCAATGTGTAATCTTGATTATACTCTAACCAGTTCGCTCGTTACATTGGCCAACTGATGAGCTTAAACTTGGTTTAGGTTCTAATCCGATTCGGTCGTAACTTCTGAATTTCTCCTTGAATGACTGACCCAATTACAGGACTTATTTAGTGGAGCTGATTTTATGGGGAAGGAAACATTTCTCCCCAGCAGTTTTGGCCTCTGAAATCCCTCCATTGCATTCTAAGAGCCACCAGCTCTTTGATTTCTGAAGAGGTGTTTTTCATTTTAGGATCACTGGCTGTCAACATTTGTTACTGTGGGAACATGACAGCATGAATACAATCAACTGAAAAAAATACCAGCATCATAGCTGACTTCAAACCTATTGTTCTGTTCCTCAACTTCGGTAGTCGAGATTACATATCTGTGACATAATCATGATCCGTAATGTAATGCACTGGCGAAGTGTTCAGGTTGGTGGGGGTATGGGGCCGGGTGTCTTAGCCTGTTGCAAACATGAGTTCTACCTGTTCAGGGTAAACCGCTGGCCTCAGCTCCCAAGTCCACCTTCATTACTCTACACTGTGCTGCTGGAGCCGAGCCCTTACTGTTTCTCTTGCCTGCTGGCACAGTACCGCACTGGTCAGTAGAGGATGCAGAAGCAAACCGCTGCCCGGTTCAGGTGAGACTTTCTAATTCTGAAGTGCATCGGACCTTGGCCTGTCCAGTGGCGCCTCACGGGAGCTGTTTCCCAGCAAGTCTTTCTGGTGCTTCCTATTAAGTTCAATGGCACCCCTGTGGGTGGCCTCCTAAGGAGTTTTGTTGACACCCCTTCCTCTCCAGCCCCACACTCCAGCAGCTCACTAAAGAGTGGGTCACCGCCACGCCCTCTCCAACAAAGTCAGCATGGGAATCTCTTCCAAAGTTGTTCCTCCTCGGGTCCTCGGCCTAGAGGTGGTGGCTGCTCCTGTAGCCACTATTCCTGTATTCTAAGGTGCCAGAGGCCGGTCCATCCTTGTTGCTTGACGCAGTCGCTGCAGGGAAGAAACATCTGCACAGCATTTGTTTCAAGGGGCTTGGCGTATACGGCATACTGTTCTTAATGTTTGCTCCCCCCTTTTTAGCGCTATGTGTTATAACCAGAACCACCTCCCTGAGAATGGTTGTTTGCCCTGGTGGGGATTTTTTCCTGGAGTTAGGGATTAACAGGACTAAGGAAGAGAATAAATCAGTAAAACCTCCTAGTTTTACAGAAATACCATGTACTACTTATGAAGAACTTGGACTAAGACTGTTGGCAATAAATTTGGGACTTGTTGGGCCCACATCTCCAGGGGTCTGCCCACCAGGGAAAGCACCAAAGCCTATACCCCTGGAGACCCACCAACACAGGGCAGTCCCAGGGAAGGCAAGCAGGGGGCTGGGAGGACATGACCTTTACAGGGTAGGATAATGTCCTTCAGTCACTTCCTTGTAGCTTATCAGTAGAGCAGTAGAATAGTGACCTTGGAATAGCCCTTATAATGGAACACAGAGATTAACCTAGACAAGATTAAAATCCACAGAACTAGATAGAGACAGGATTTTTGGCAAACGTCAGGTAAGAAACTATGGAAATGAAACAAGGAACTGTAGAAGGTTACCCAAAGCATACCATGATGTAATTATAGAGGCATGCTTATAGGATCAAATGGTATAAATACAGATGTAACAGGACAATAAGAAGAGAACCTGGCTATGCTGATCAACTGAACGCTGTCTCCATGTCATTCCTTCTTCACTGACTCGGTCCACACCTTTGGGAACCCCTGGACCTGCTGGGGCAGGACCCCAACACTTAGGCATTCTCTTTACCCTTAGTAATTAATCCTCTGTTACTAATTAGTAATTCTTTACATCAAAGTTTCCTTGTTCCAATTACTGTTTTCTGTCTCCTGACTGGCCCCTGGCTGTTACAGTGGATTAAGATACCAGTCACAAGGGTGCCCCCCCATAGGCTGGTTGATAACCGCTTCTGTAGTTTAGTATAAAGGGCTCAACCAGACAGGTTGAGAATGATGTAAGCGAATCAGACTGGCTCCTAGAATTTTGCCTGACAACTAAGTAAAAATTGTCCAGTCCTCAAAAGAACGGGCAAGACTTGGATAGTTGACGTTTGAGGATGCCCATTCTCTTCATTTTCTTTTTTCTTTTTATGATGATCTGTGTTTCTCTTTGGAATCCACAAATCTAACTGGATTCTTTTACTGTAGTCGTCAGGGATTCCTGATCAGGGAAGGTCTTCCTGACATTTTCTTGACACTTCACTCATCTATCTGTGCTCAGCACCGGTAAGGAAATGTCATCTACTTGGCTGGACTTGGAAAAGAAGTGGAAAAACACATTTTAGATACAATTGCTTTTCCTTGCTGGGATGGTCTGTCCAAGGGCAGAGGTCCCGTCTGGGTGTGGTGGGAGAAGGGAGTGTGAATTAGGGCCACCATCTATCTACTAGTGTCCAGTCTTCCTGTACAGTCAGCCTTACCCCATGTTCCTTCTACATCGCTAAACAACTCTATTCCCCCTACAGTGGCTACTTTAAATCTTTGCTAGTTTCTTAGCTCATTCTCACTTCACATACTGAGACTATCAGGTAAAAAGTCCCTCAACTTGCTGCCTTCTCTCTGCTGTGATAGCTGGAGCTTTATCTTGGACAAATAAGAAAGGGCAGATGCCTGGCCATCGTGGCTCAGTGGTTGAGCATTGACCTATGACCTGGGAGGTCATGGTTCAATTCCCAGTCAAGGGCACATGCCTTGTTGCAGGTTTGATCCCTAGTAGGGTGTATGCAGGAGGCAGCCAGACGATCAATGATTCTCTCATCTTTAATGTTTCTATCTCTCCCTCTCCCTTCCTCTCTGAAATAAAACTAATTTTTTTTTTTTTTTTAAAAAAGGCAGACTAGGAAATTGGAAAGGGAGCATGGGTCTTTGAGGACTCCTTGGAAAAGAGTGGCCTCCACTATTTTATATCAGAAAGAAACTATCCTTTATCCACAGATTATCTTTGCACCTTTGCTGAAAATCAATTGTCCTTCTATGCGTGGGTCTATTTTTGGACTTTGCTCCTTGAGTTATTTATCTTATCTTGATACCAATTCTTGTCTTTAATCTTGCCTTAATTACTGTAGCTGTAGAAGTCTTCACACCTGGGAAGGTCAGTCCAGCCCTCTTTACCCCATCTTGGTTGGAAGCAGAGATCAGACTGATGCACTTAATCCCAGCTCCACCGTTTAGTATTTATGTGATTTCATATAAGTCAGTTAATAATGCTTATTAGTCATGTATGTACTTGTCTATTGTTAGAATTAAATATTATAGGACTTGGATTAAACGTTAATTATTATCAAGAGCCGAACTAGGGCCCTGGCCCGTGTGGCTCAGTGGGTTGGGTGTCATCCTGTTCACTGAAAGGTTAGCAGTTTGGTTCAGCCGTACAAGCCCAGGTTACGGACTCAATCCCCTGCAGGGGACACGCAGGAGGCAGCCCATCAATGTTCCGTTCCCACATCGGTGCTCCTCTTTCCCCCTCTCTCTTCCTCTCTCTTTCAAAACAAAAATCAATAAAAATATATTTTTTTAAAAAGAGCCTGAACTACGTACGGAAGATGGCTCTGGGAATAAACAGTATTGGAACTGCAGGGTGGAATGGGGATGGATAAACTTGCTCCGCTGATTAAGGACCTCCCGCCGTCTTTCCCAGCTCAGGGACATGCTCCCGCCTTTTCATCTTTATTTATTTTTTGAGATATAAGTGACATGCAACACGGCGTAAGTCTGAGGTGCGCACCGTGTTGGTTTGACACATTTACATATTACAGTGTGATGACTCCAGTAGCATTAGCTAAACCCCTCCACATCACCGCATTTCCATTTCTCTGTGGAGACTGGTTAAGATTTAGCCTCTTCCCTTCGAGGTGTGTAAGGCAGAATCATGGATGAATTCACTGCGTTGGATCTCAGGACTGAGTCATCTGCCCCTTGTAAGTTCCTACCCTCAGCAATACCTCCCTGTGCCCCGGCCCAGCCCCCTGCCCTGTCGTCTTCCACAGTGAAGTTTGGCAGCAAATTGCCCTGGACAGCAGGCTGATCACTTCCTACAGAGACAAGGACAATAACCCAGGTGAAAAGGGATAAATAAAACCGGCCAGGAGCCCCACATTGGAAAGGATCGTCCCGCTATCTCAACAATTTTCTGCGCAGCTTGGTAACATTTTTATGTAGAAACAAATGTTTTTTAAAAAGAAGAGAGCTTTCTCCGTGTTACCTTCAAACCCAGGTCACAGCAGCCTTTCGGCTGGCTCGGCCTGGCTTTCTTCAACTCTCTCTTTTTTCAGGCTTTGCAGTACCTGTCCCTGCCGGTCTCCAGGCCCCCAGTTACCGGTCAGCTCCATGCCGAAGGGGAGGAGCTACTGGCCAGGCTCTGTTCCCAGCATCAGGGCCCCACATCCCAGGGACCTACAGTGCCTCCTGGGGACCAAAGAGGACCCCATCTCTCCGTCGTGTGCCCTGTGAGTGCCGTGTCCAACACCATGGATGGCGGGCCCAAGAAAGGTTTGGCTTTGATTGGATTCAGTCTTCTCTGCTTTAAAATGGTGAGTTGATCATTCTGACCTTCTTGCAACTATTTTGGGGGAGGCGGGGTAAGACATTCATTACCTGTCTCTTTTAGGGCCCAGGGGGTGAGGAGGAAGAAATCGAAATACCCTTGAACCATACTAAGATTGTGTATGTTTGTGTGTTTGAAATGTGATGCCACTTACTAGGCAAAGAAAACAAAATTATCATTGTATTTTAAGAACAAAGATTTCTGAAAAATCTGTCAGTAGCGACTGACTTAGTTCAATAGGCAGATTCAGGGAGAAAAATGAAATAGTAATGTGACCCATCTCCAGCCTCTAAGCGCTATTTAGGATTGCTTTGTGGTGGGTTTGAGTGTGCAGAAATGACTTGTGCAAATGAACACTCCGTCTGGAGCGAAAGATTGCTCGCGTCATGTGTAAAAAGTGATGACTTTATTAACCCCTTTGATTGATGTTTTTACATTTCCCCTAATGGTGTTTTTCTTTATGGTTCTAATTTTCCAAATTTTCCTTTTCAGGTTGCTTCAGCAAAAACAGGTACAGTTTTCTAAAATGCAAGCTCCCCCTCCCCATGTTTGATTTGAATTTTCATTGTGCATTCTTGGCTACTCTGAACTGTAAAGGCTCTCCCAGAAAAAAGTATTCAACGTTTTCTGAACATTCACACTGTGAGCGGAGCTGGTAAGACAAATATACGGATCAAACTTAAAAAGTAAGTCCTCCCCCTAGCTAGTTTGGCTCAGTGGATGGAGCATTGGCCTTCAGACTGAAGGGTCCCGGGTTCGATTCCTGTCAAGGGCACATGCCCAGGTTGTGGGCTCGATCCCCAGTAGGGGGCGTGCAGGAGGCAGCTGATCAATGATTATCTCTTATCAATGACGTTTCTATCTATCTCTCTCCTTTCCTCTCTGAAATCAATAAAAATATATTTTTTAAAAAAGATAAGTCCTCAAAAAAAATACAAAAGAACAAAGATTAGTCCTCTTAAGATGTTCTTATTGAGTACTAAGTGTTATAGAGCAGTGGTTCTCAACCTTCCTAATGCCGCGGCCCTTTAATACAGTTCCTCATGTTGTGGTGACCCCCAATTTCATAGTTACAAATTGAACATAATTAAAGCATAGTGATTAATCACAAAAACAGCATGTAATTATATATGTGTTTTCCGATGGTCTTAGGCGACCGCTGTGAAAGGGTTGTTCAACCCCCAAAGGGATCGCGACCCACAGATTGAGAACCGCTGTTATAGAGTCATGTAGTTATGGGTTTTCTCAAACAGAGGTAGCCATCAGTGAAATATTACAAAACCATCATTTCAGTCCAAGAAACAAAATTTCAGTCATAAATAGTGAGGAGTCTGATTTTATAACTTCTTATTTGTCTTCTGAGGAATTAGAGCAGAAAGCTAGAAATGTTTTTTAATTAAAATCTTAAGATTCTCCACTTTTTTTCCCCACTCTAATAAAAAATATTTTACATTTCTAATATTGCATCCTTAAAATATAGACAATGGTACCTTGGAGCTGGAAAAAGGCTTTTTTAAAAACCCCACTATTTTATTACTTTTTTAAAAAAAATAAATGACTGAGGCACAGATAATTTCCCTAAAGGCCTTGCCTAGCTCATACATTCTAGAAACCTAAGTCCCCAGAATGGAAATGTATATTCAGGGGGATTTAGATGATCTGGAGGGATCTTATAATATCGATTATATCACCAGTAAATTCTCACACCAATTCAACATAAGAATAATTTTATCTTATTATTTTAAAAAATATGTTTTTATTGATTTTTAGAGAACAAGGAAAGGAGAGAGGTAGAAAGATAGAAACATAGATGAGAGAGAACCATCGATCAGCCACCAGACTACAACCCAGGCATATGCCATGATCAGGAATTGATCCAGTGACCCCCTGGTTCATGGGTCAACACTCAAGCACTGAGCCACACCAGCCGGGCAAGAACAATTTTATTATTTTATCTATACCCAGTAAAGGAAGTATAAATAAGGCAGTTTCAAATTTGATATTAGACATATGGCTGAGCCATAAAATGCATGCATCTACCATAGGTTTTTAAAAATCATTTTATGCTTGATTCTTATTCACTCATTCTTGAGAAACCTGAATTGATCAGAAAGTTATGAGAAGGACTGAGTAGCCACATATAGAGTGATTGTGTTATAATTGCTTTGAGTGGACAAAATGTAGCGCTGCTATCTCTTGGAGGCCCCAGGACACACTCACGGAGCCCCGGAAGGAGGCACTTTTTAGCGTCCCTCACTATTAGGGGGGCCGGCTGAGATCTGATGGTGGCTGGCGTCCATGGACTCGCCCTGGCTGTTTCACGGATAAGTGTGTGTTCCCGACTGTGCAGGAGGTTTCCACTCGGATGTGTGTCTTTTGATGCTCCTCGGGCTCTGGCGTCAGCTGTCTGTGATCTGTGTCTGGGCGCCGGGGCCATGCGGGCTCATTTAGACCCTGAGCTGGGAGAATGCAGATGCTGTGCATCCGGGGTCTCGCTTCGGACTCATGGGAATGGCTGACAAACGCTTTCTCTCCCATCAACGCGCCAGTGGGCCCAACACAGAACCGAGACAGAGGAAAGGGCTGCTGATGTGTGGAACCTGCCCCCCACGCAGGCTGCTCTTCTCCTTGGGGGACAGGGCAGAGGTGTTGATCTTTTATTGCTGTGCCTGTTCAGATCCTGCCCTACCACCAAGTGGAAAATGGGCATAACAGGCAACCTGTCTCTCCAAGAGCCTGTGCCGGCCCCAGGCTCCCCAGAATCTCGTTTTCCCTGACATCCCTCCCCGGCACTGCCATGCCAACTGGCTTTTCCAAACCAGAACTCACTCACCCTGTTACACACACACACACACGCACACACACACGCTCACCCTGTTACATACACACACACACACACACACACACACGCACACACATACACGCACACACACACAAGCCCTTCCTACCTTGCAAAGTCCCCTTACATACACCCTTTCCCTTCATCTTTATAGCGTCATGAGATGTAGGTATTTAAATACGTAGGTATTATTAACATTCCACATTCTCCAGAGAGAATACGGAGACTAGAAGAGGTGAAATGACTCGTACATGCTCACAAGCAAAAGTAAATGGCCCAGCCCTGGACGGTGTGCCCAGTGGTTAGAGCGTCGGCCTGAGCACTGAAGGGTCTCAAATTTGAGTCCCTGTCAAGGACATGGACCTGGGTTGTGGTTCGCTCTCCGCTGCTGGTCAGGATGCTTGCAGGAGGCAAGCAGTCATTGTGTCTTTCTCACATCAACGTTTCTCTCCGCCCCCCCCCCTTCCTCCCTTCCACTCTCTCTCTCTGAAAACCAATGGAGGAAATATCCTCATGTGAGGATTTAAAGAAAAAGAAGGTAAAAAGCTCAAGCCCAGAGTTCCCAAATCCAAACCTCTGCTGTTTCCCACCACCTGGCCCTGAGCTCCGCGGCTGAAACCCGCTTCGTGTAGGACTCCTGGGCAGTGTGCCTCCCCCAGCTCAGTCCAGCAAGATTTGTGGAGGCTTCAGGCCCCTTGACAGGCCTGCAGGGAGTTCGTCTGCGACCTACTAGTTGTTTATATTCCTCTCCACCCTCTCCCCACGACTCTCAGGCCTCCTGTGTCTGAGTGGCTAACTTGGTTGCCATTTTCCCAGGAAGTTATTCCATCCCAATGAGCAAGACTGGCTGACGTAGAAGATAAACTATGGAGACGAAGGAAACAGAAGGAGCTGAGAGACACCACAAATGCAGAGGAAAGATAGCAGATAACACAGGACCAATAGCTCGGGGAGCAGGAAAGGGGTGCGGGTGTGGGAGGGATGAAAGGGTGAGACCCTCTTCGAAATCTCAGAGCGCAGGTGGGGAAGGGGGAGCGGGTGGGAAGAGATCAACCAAAGACCTTGTATGCATATATGCATAACCCATGGGCAAAGACAGACTATAGGATGGTGAGGGCCTGGGGCAGGGGGTGGAGGCGGGCTAGAAGAAATATATAAAAAAAAATAAAGAAAGAAAGAAAGAGGAAGTTCCTGCTGGGACTTTTTATGCTGCAGGGGTGGGGTGGGGGGAAGGAACAGGGACATGGCGCTTCCTGCAGAGGCAGCTTTTGCTGGCAAATGGCTGGGATGGGCAGGCAACTCCCCCTCTCCCCTTTCCCCCCACCCGTGGGCATAAAGAACCACCATCCTTTTCTACCGATGGCAGAGGGGACAGTCCTGGGTGACGTTCAAGGAATGCCTGGCCGGCGCACAGTGCGGACTTTGTTCATCCTTGCGGCATGGCTGTTTCTGAGACGCTGCCAAGGCCAGCTCTCCGGGCTGTTGGTGCAGAGAGAGAGGGTGTCAGTGCCATGCACACGGGGGCTTGGCAGGTGGGGGCTGCCGGGGGAGGGGGTGGCACTGGCAAGTCACCCATTGGGTCTGTGTCTACTCTTCCTCCTCTGTGCCCTATAGTTACGTTCTGCCTTTTCGTTTGGAGTTTGGCATGTTGTGATTTTACCCAGCAAATATTTGCTCCACGTTACACGGAAAAGGCCAGGCGCCTGTTTCACACCAGCTATTTTTATTTGACCGTTTCTTCCACTTGGATCAACATCCGGGGCATTTTTGTGCCTGTGGGATTTTTGCAAAAGTAGCAAATCTGATGACCATACTGTGCCTCCCACCCCGTGCTGAAAGTCTGGGAATGCCTTGTATGAGCTTCTGACATGAACAGTCATAGCTCCCTGGCAATCCATGGCCAGGCCTGGGGAGGAGGGACCAGAGCAGCCTGAGGCAGATATTTTGATAGAGAAAGGGTGAACAAAGTTGATTTTTATTTTATATAAAACAATCTGAAAATGGTCCCATTCTAATAATATGAAAGAAATACGATGGCGTGGTTATATAACAAAACTCAATTCTCCCTGCTTCCTCTATTAGATTACATGCATGAATGGAGACTCAGCCACGGCAGGGTGGGGAGGGAGGTGGACTCTCGCTGCCCTCAGTGGAGAGTAGTCATGGGGCTGGGGGTGGAGATAGTGGCAAAGCAGGCTGGGAAATTACCAGGATGCCAAACTAGAGCAGAATCTTCTGGAATAAAGCCCCTCAAAGACCGTCTCCCTCCTCTCAAGATCTTTCATCATTCCCTACTCTTATTTTACACTTAAAAACACAGAAGGTGCAAATTATCCCAGAGGCAAGTGGGGGAAAACTTCTTTGAGATCTCATTCCTGAATGGAAGGTTTGAGCTTTCTGGCTCTCTTTTGGAAAGTAGATTCCCCTTTCTTTTTCTCTGTTTCTTCTTTTTTTAAAAAAAATATTTTTATTGCTTTCAGAGAGGCAGGGAGAGGAAGAGAGAGAGAGAGAAACATTAATGATGAGAGATAATCATTGATCCGTGGCCTCTGGCATGCCTCACACTGAGGATCGAGCCCGCAACCTGGACATGTGCCCTTGACCAGGAATTGAACTGTGACCTCCTGGTTCATAGGTTGATGCTCAACCACTGAGCCACGCGGGCCGGGCTGTTTCTTCTTCTTCTTTTTAATCTGGAAAGTCAGGGCAGAGTCTGTGTCTGAAGGATGACGCAGAAATGGTGTAGTTTGCCAAGTAAAATGATGAAGGAAGTCGTTCTTCTAGGTGTCCTAGCTAATGGTCAACTTCAAAATCTCTTTCAGCTCCTGAAATACCCACTATTGACCAGGCATACTCAAAAATCAGCAACAGTATCACCGTGGAATGGGCTACCGTGCCAGGCGCCACCAGTTACCTCCTCACGGCCAAAGATGGGGACACCGTCATTGAAACCACGGTGGCCAATTCCCCGGGCACTGTGACGGGCCTGAAGGCTGCCACCTTGTACCAAATCACCGTCAGCTCCATCAGTGCCGCGGGGCGGAGCCAGGCGTCACCTCCAACGCAGGCAAAGACAGGTAGCTGGACGCCCCGCCTCCTCCGAGCCATCGCTCGTGACCTGGACCAGTTCCACTGACGCTGCAATGCGCCATGCGGTTCTGTGTTGCGTGAGTGCCTATGATTCAGGGCCCAGAAGTCAAAGCCACCAATGACATCCTTTGGAAATGTGGTTATCTGTGGAGAAGGTGGCATTTGAACTCCAGATGCTTTGGGAAATAAGCATTCCCGGGCATCTTGAAAAGCATCCCTGCTTGTAAATCTGAAAAAGGGATTTCTATTTTTAACCCGTTATCCATCAAGACCGGGCAGAACAAAGGGCCCTGAAGGGCGGCCGCTGCACTTTGACTTACTCAGAATAAAAGCGTCTGTGGAGTTTGTCATCAGCAAAACTTAAATAGATTTGATAAAGTTGTGCCCAGGCGTATTTCTGACAGGTGGTCGGGGTAGTAAAATGGAATGAACCACTATTTTTTTAAAAAATATAGTTTATTGATTTTTTACAGAGAGGAAGGAAGAGAGACAGAGAGCTAGAAACATCGATGAGAGAGAAACATCGATCAGCTGCCTCCTGCACACCCACCACTGGGGATGTGCCCGAAACCCGGGCACATGCCCCCGACCGGAATCAAACCCGGGACCCTTCAGTCCGCAGGCCGACGCTCTATCCACTGAGCCAAACCGGCTTTGGCGGAATGAACCACTATTGACCCCACGGACTTATGTGATGATTACAGCGATGTGTTATTCAATTTCTCACCATCCTCCAGCTTAAAGTAATGCCTAATATTAGAATTTCTCTGTTCCCCATTCCTGGGATGAACTGCTTGTAATGAACACACATTTAAATAGCAATTCTTGTGTTTTTATTTAAATGGCAATTCTTTTTTTTAATAGCAATTCTTCATGAAACTCTGCCTTGAATCTTTTTTTGCAAAGCAAATCATTATTTCCTAACATGGCTAACCCACCTCAGACTACTTCCTCCTAAATCAGAATTATTCCTCCACCAAACCTGTGTAATGCAAACACACGCGTTTTTGCCTTTGTAGTGTTGGCCGCACCGGTTCTAGAAGTGAGCTCTCCAAGTTCAGACTCCATCCTCGTGCAGTGGGAAGCCGTATATATGGCCACCGGGTTCTCCGTGTCCATCATGCGAGCCAATGGTTTGGGTAGAATATGGAAGGAGAATACCACAAACACCACCTTGACATTCACCAGTTTAGACGCCGGGACGCTGTACACCATCAAGGCCTATGCGTGGAATGCCAATGGGACCCCTGGGGATGACTCCACCTGCAACCAGAGAACGAGTAAGACTTCCCCGCTCGCTCGCCTCAAGCTCCTTTGTGGTTAAGGAGAGGGGCTGTGCCTGGGAGCCATCCAGCGCTGTGTTGAGTGATGAGCACAGAGCAGCTGGCAGCAGCTATTCCAATGTATGATGTTTATTTATAGTTTCCTGCCTGTCCCCCTGGGCATTTTAAATGCTTACTACATGAACAAAGAAATGCTCATTTCAGAGCAGATGTAACTAGTTAAGATGACGTCATGGGGTAGGCCCTAATCCAGGATGACTCATGTCCTTATAAAAAGAGGGAAATTTGGACCCAGACATACACATGCAGGGAGAATGCCATATGAACCCCAGGGCCACTGTCTACAGGCCAAGGAGAAAGGCCTGGAAGGCAGCCTTTTTCGCAGCCCCTGCCAACACCTTCATTTCAGACTTCTAGTGGCCAGGACTGCGAGACAATACATCTCTGTTGTTTAAGCCACTTTTTATTTATTTTTTTAAAATATATATATTTTATTGATTTATTTTTTAGAAAGGGAGAGAGAGATAGAAACATCAATGATGAGAGAGAATCATTGATTGGCTGCCTCTTGCACCCCCCCTACTGGGGATCAAGCCTGCAACCCAGGCATGTGCCCTTGGCTGGAATCGAACCTGGGACCCTTCAGTGTGCAGGCCGACGCTCTATCCATTGAGCCAAACCAGATAGGGCGTTAAGCCACTTTTTAAAATATATATATTTTTTTATTGATTTTTACATAGAGGAAGGGAGAGTGATAGTCAGAAACATCGATGAGAGAAACATAGACCAGCTGCCTCCTGCACATCTCCTACTGGGGATGTGCCCGCAACCAAGGTACATGCGTTCAAGCCACTTTGTTACAGCAGTCCCAGCAAAGTCAGGCTAAATCCAAAGTCTCTAAAACTGAAAGCACAGGGACATGAACCAAGAGAAAGGCTTTGGGAAGCCAGTCCCCCCAGCACATGGCTCTCCCTGCTCCCCAGCCTGGTGTAGAAGCCCCTCCTGCCACTCTCTGGCCCCCCCGCCCTCCTATCTGAGCACTTGTTAGGCCAAATCTCACTCGGGTTCTTGCGGCTACTGCCGAAATCTAAACTGTTTCTCCAAAATGCAGGTCCCCGGGCTCCCGCCGACATTCAAGTCTCTTTTGACAGCGGGGCTCTGGCCGCGTCGGTTTCCTGGGCCCCCACGGAAGGAGCCTCTAACTACACGGCGCTGGCTCGGAGCGACTCCTCCCAGCTGAGCTGCAGCACGGCCTCCAGCGGCTGCACCATCTCCTCCCTCCGCTGCGGGACCGAGTACCTGATCTCCGTGTCGGCCAGCAACGATGCGGGGTCCAGCAGGTCGGCTTCGGCGGGGACCCTGAAAACCAGTACGTAACCGCCCTGGCCTGTTTTGCTCAGTAGTTAGAGTGTCAGCCCACAGACCAAGGGTCTCGGGTTCGATTCCGGTCAAGGGCATGTACCTGGGTCGCAGGCCCCATCCCGGTCCAGGTTGGGGCATGTGCAGGAGGCAACCAATCAGTGCGTCTTTTTCACATCAATGTTTCTCTCTCTCTCTCTCTCTCTCTCTCCTTCCTCCCTGTCTTCCACTCTCTCTAAAAATCAATGGAAAAATATCCTTGGGTGAGGATTAACCAAAAAAAAACCCCCAAAACTGATAGGTAACCAAGAGCGAGGTCACCATGGGGCTGGCGAGCTAACATGACCGCCATGCCGACACAGGTGAGTGAACAGGAGAGCCGGGTCCAAAGGAAAGCCTTGAGTTGGACGTGCCGATGCGGTTGGACATCTCCAGACACTGGGCATTAGGAGAAGCACATCTTTGAAAAGAGGAGGCCGGGCTCCGAGCCCAGATCTTCTCTTGCTTGGTTCCTCTCCCACCTGTCAGGCCGCACGGTTCTTAAGACCCAGTGTGAGTCGTGCTCAGTTCGGACCGTGCAGCACAGACGGTGGCCTCTTCCTGGCATCGCCTCTCACAGACCCAGGCCTGGGGGTGCTCGTCTTTAAGATAAAGAAGGGCTGTCCGTCATTCTGGACGAGTGTCTAGCTATCTTCCCATTTCCATTCTTATCAAAGGCGTCAGGCATGCAGATGCGGAGGGTTGCTCCTCTGTTCCTACGTGTCTGGTGAAGACCTACGATGTCCCAGGCATTCTAAGTGCATCGTTTTATTTAATTCTCAACAAGGCAGCTTCTGTTATCTCCTTTTTAGATAAGAAAATGGAAGCTCAGAGACGTTAAATAATTTTTCCAAAGGCTCAGTGATGGAACATCAGTTTGCCTGATTGACTTCTCTAAGCAAAGAAACTGTAGCTAACTGCAAGAATGTCCACTTTACCCCAAATTCAGAATTATGTCATTCTAAATGTAAAAGATTGTTGAGGGGGGCAGGGGGAAAGAGATCAACCAAAGGACTTGTATGCATGCATATAAGCATAACCAATGGACACAAGACATTGGGGGGCGGGGTATGGGCATGTGCTGGGGGGTGGAAGTGGCCAGGGAGAGGTCAATAGGGGAAAAAGGAGACATATGTACTACTATATGTAATACTTTAAACAATAAATAATTTTTAAAAAAACACAGGTTTTTGAGCAGGGAGGAAGAGAGCTGCCACCAAGCCAGCACACCCTTCAGATCATAAATAAATAAAATAAATAATGAAATTATGTTAAATAAAATCATAACTATGTTAAAGTCGCTGACAATAAGCTGGTGACTTGGCTTCTCTTTGAACAACTCCAATTCAATGTGGATGGCACATTGGAAATGATTAGCAGAAGCTGGGAGAGGGAGAGACCGGAAATACACTTTCACTTTCTTTTGCCCAAAATGACTAAGGCCAAGGGAAAGGGAGAGGCCCCCGCTGTATGTCCTCTAGGCCTTGGAGAAAACACAGAGTTGCTCCCTTGGCCACATACATGAGGACCTACAGGAAAGGTGATTGGCAGACGTACCAAGGGGACGGGCGCTGTTCAGAAAGGAACGCCCACAAATGCCACCAGGAACCACTGACAGAGTCTACAGTATCAGCCGGCACGCAGGGGGCATTGTTGTAAACAAACAAGTTAAGGGCAAGGTTCTCACCAAGAGAATAAAGGTACGTATTGAGCACATTAAACACGCGAAGAGCCGAGAGAGCTTCCTGAAAGGTGTACAGGAAAATGATCAGAAAAAGAAGGAAGCCAAAGGGAAAGGCTCCTCCTGCCAGAGAAACTCTGTGGGAACCAATGGAAAGGGGCCTGAGCTGCTGGAACCCCGCCCTGTGCATTCACGGCATGATGAGTGGAAATAATAATCATCATAAGAGACCTCTGTCCTGATAAAAATGTTTCTCTTAATTAAGTACAAGTGTGGTGTCCCCTCCCCCCAAAAAATATTTAAATAAAATTTTGTGTCCTAAAAAAGAAAGAAAAAAAAGAAATACACTTTGCAAAGCCCTGCAGTTCTGAGTGTCATCTAATGCCCGTGAGAACCAGCCGGAGTTTTCCATCCTGGCTGCACGGTAACAGCATCCGGACGGCTTTTATAAAGTCCAGAACCCAGGCCCCGCTGAAGACCAGTGAAGTCGAGTTGCTGGGAATGGAGCCTGGATCTGAGTAGTTTGTAAAAGCTCCCCAGTCGGTTCTAACATGCTCCAGGGTAAGTGCCATTGACACAGCCCCCCACAGTCATCAGTCCAGGAGGCACCACTGTCGTTTGTATGCAACACTACGAGATCATGGAACGGCCTTGACTTACCAATAAGAGAACTATATTTAGAAAGTCCTACGTGTTTCCTGAGGCTGAGAACTGTATAGTATATTTTGGGAGGATTTCTATTAGAGATGACTAAAGGTTTAAAAGCTTAACCCAGTCAGCCAATGTCGCTCAGTGGTTGGGCATCGACCCATGAACCAAGAAGTCACAGTTTGATTCCTGGTCAGGGCACATGGTTGGAGTTTCGGGCTCAATCCCCAGTAGAGGGCATGCAGGAGGCAGCTGATCAATGATTCTCTCTCATCATTGATGTTTCTCTCTCTCTCTCTCCCTCTCCCATCCTCTCTCTGAAATCAATTAAAAGTATTTTTTAAAAAACAACATTTTGAAAGCTTAGAGCTTGAAAGAATGAACTTCAGTTGAATTCATTCCTTCAGAGGACTTCATTCTGTGCAGATCCTGGCATTGCCTTAACGCAGAAACAACATTGAACAATCCGTGACTGTTTCCAACACAGTCTAGCATGTACGGGGCGAGGTAAATTTCAGGGCATCTGAGAACGTCTGGTTGGCTTGCACATGCTGTTTGATGTATTCCTTGTTCACAGCATCCGGTATCTGGGACAATTGCAAAGACACAAAGTAAACCTCTGACAACAGTTTATCGTTCATCATTTCCTAGTTGCTTGTGCACCTGGAAGAGTGATGATCCAAGAAGACCCCCCTGGCCACCTGTCTGTGTCTTGGTCCAACGTGGACCTGGGTGATTACTACGTGGCCTTTGTGAAGAGTGATGACGGCTTGGAAGTTCACTGCAACACCTCCCTCCCCCGGTGCGACTTCCCCTCTGAATGCGGCTTCACTTACTTCATCAGCGTCTTTGCCTATAACAAGGCGGGGCAGAGCCCTTTGGGAGATGTGTTCAATTACACCACAGGTGAGTCGCACCCGAGGCTGGTAAAGGGGGATCCGAGTCCACTACACGGGGCAGTAAAATGGATCACCGGTTACATAGTCCCCCTGGGGGCGACTCTAGGGCCAAGAAGGCAAAGGGGATCTCTCCTTTCACATTCTTTCCCGGCTAGGAAGTTTTGGCTCCCTGGACCAAAGCTTAACCAGAATGCAAGGGTTTGGAGTGAAAAGAGGGGAAAGACTGTAGTTGTCCAACCCCGCTCTGAAAAATGGACCCCTGCGCCCAGGTGTTCAGCTCTGGTGCTAGGTGTCCAAGGGGATGCAACCCTAATGCCTCAGGAATTCATCCCTTCCCCCCAAACCAGGAAACAGATGCAAAGACGGTACCTGGCGTGGAGGGCTTTGCAGAGGGACGCCTGGGTTCAGGCCCTAAGTTGAGCACCAACTTATTTGTAAACTGGGGACAATGAAGTCCAACTTGCTGGTTCCTCTGTATCCCCCACTGCCAAATGGGACAAATAACGGGAAGATGAATATGAAAAGGTTTTTGCATGTGACAAGGCACAATGCAAGCATTTTTATTAGCATCGTTATAACTGTCACTAATTAACCTCCTCCGCTAGGCTTGGATCTCCTATGGAACAGGGATGATGTTCTATTTGTCTCTTCATCCTCAATGCTTGTCATAGTGTGGTTGGCTTGATATGGGAGATGCTCAATTTTTGAAGGATGAATGGAGTGAGTGACTTAAAACCAGTCAACTCTATTTGCAGATAAGAATACTACAATATCATTATGTAGAAAGCAATGCTAGCTGGATTGTGGTACATGTTACCAGGGTGAGGGGATCAAGTCATCGCTGCCTTGGAATTTGGAGAAAGAGGCCTCCAAAGTGCGGGAGCGTCTTCCAGAAGGAGTGACCTTGAACTGGATCTTTAAGGACAGGTGGCAGGCGAGAGGGGCAAGAGCATTCCAGAGACACTCCAAGCTGAGTTAGACACGGGTCAGAATTTGTCCGTGAGTTAGTGTAGGGTCTCTTCTAAAACCTGCTCATCGGGTGCTGCCGCCTGCCCTCCTCCGCCCCCAGCTTTATCTATTTCAGAGCCTGGAGAGGCCGATAGGATGGAGCAGCTGGACAGAGGCTGGTTTGTCGGACAGAAGCGGGGAATGGCATTCCAGCAGAGGGCTCGGCGTTCTTGGAGGCACAGGGAATTGAGAGCCCGTGTGTGGTGGGGCGTCCAGGAGCCTGGGAGGCAGGGGGCCCAGGGAGGTGCAGCTGAACAGCAGACTGGGTACAGCTCCTAAAGAACTTGAATGTCACACTTAGAGAGTTCATCCTCCATGTAGCAGGTCTTAGGCCCCGTTCGGAGCTGGAAGGTCTAGGAGGGTCTTGCAGTAATTGAGGGCAGAGACAGAGTCCTGCACGAGGAGGTCAGGGTCTGCTCCTGTGCTGACCTCCACCCCCCTCCGTGTCTGCTCCCAGCTCCCTGTTGTCCTAGCGACATTAACCCCGTGCTGGTGTCCAGCGACCGAGTGGAGATGGTCTGGTCTCCCGTCCGGGGTGCCGAACTTTATGAAACCAGGGCTGCCGACGGGTTCAATGTGGTGGAATGCAACGACACGGCCCCCGCGTGTACCCTCTCTGCCCTGGAGTGCGACACCAAGTACAACATCACAGTGTATTCCTTCAGCGAAGCCCGGGGCAGCAATACCTCCTGTGCTTCCCGACTCATCACCACCGGTAACCCCACCCGCCCCAGCTGTGTGCCCCAGGGTGGGCCTGCAGCAAGAACCACGGGCAGGCAAACTCCCACTCCCGCCCCCCGCTCCTGTGGGACCATTGGGGCTCGTCTTACTAAGGGGAGGCTGAGAGAGGGTGGAAGAGGGGAATTGGGGGAAAAGAAAACAAAAGAGGAGACCCCGGGGATGGTGGAAGGTTTTGCCTGTCAGCCATTCACTTCCCCTACCTTTGGGGGTCCTGCCTGTATTCCCACCATGAAGGTTCAGACCACACATTTTTGTCTCAATTACTTTTTTTAAAACTAGGCTTTTATCGATTACAGAGAGGAAGTGAGAGGGAGAGAGAGATAGAAACATCATCGATCAGCTGCCTCCTGCACGCCCTCTGCTGGGGATCAAGCCCACAACCTGGGCATGACAGGGAATCGAACCCTGACCTCCTGGCTCATGGGTCAATGCTCAACCACTGAGCCACACCAGCCAAACTCAATTACTTTTGCTTTTGGAGTTCAAAATGTAGCATTTCCCAGTTAGTCAGATGCTCTAGGAACCCCAAACCATCTGTCCCTGGCGCCAGGGTTTCCACACAAAGACTATGAATGTGGCCTGCACTCGGGGGGTGGCTGGAAGGGACACTGATCTCAGTGGGGGGAGAAAGTCAGTTTTAGAGCAGATGGCACAGGGGAGGGGATGTTTTTGACTCTCACTGTTTCAGCGAATAACCTGAACTCTCTCAGCTCCTTGCAGTCCCGAAATACAAAGCATTTCGAAGGACGCCTTCTCCGCGATCCACGTGCACTGGAGATCCCGGAACCAGGGCGCCACCTACACCGTGACGGCGCAGGGAGAGGAGGGGCTGTATCGGTGCAGCAGCTCGGGCCAGGCCTGTGCCCTGGGCGGCCTGCCCTGCGGCTCCCTGTTCTCCGTCACCGCGGTGGCCGAGACGCAGGCGGGACGGAGCCTGCCCAGCTACAGTGTCCCCCTGGAGACAGGTACGTGGCCACCACCAGCCTGCACCCGGCATCCGGTGGGGCCCTGAGGAACTGTTTGAAGACAGGAACTATTTCACTTGATCTACCCGACGTGGGATAGAGACACATGAAACTCAGAGGCCTTTCCAAGAGCCCCAGTCTTGCCCTGGCTGGGTAGCTCAGTGGGTTGGAGCGCCGTCCCAATATGCCAAGGTTGTGGGTTCAATCCCCCATCAGGACCCAGACAGGAATCAATCAGTGAATGCATAGATAAGTGGGTTAACAAGCTCATCTCTCTCTCTCTCTCTCTCTCTCTCTCTCTCTTTCTTCCTTTCTCTCTCTCTCTAATTAATTAAAAAAGCCCCAGTCTTATGAAGCTTTCACCATTTGAACACAGGCTCTGTAAAAGCATCAGAGACTCTAATACACTCATGCATTGACATCAAAGGGGGATACGTTGACTACAAGAACATTTATTTGAAGTCCCATTCCCCCGTGACACAGTCTACCAAAACAACCAACACGTGACCAAATGAGCTGGGTTATTTACCTCTTTGGCTCAGCCCTTTTGAGTCTTTGTCTAAAGAATGCTTTCCGAGATTGCGTTTCCTAACATGGTAAAAGTGGGGAATGGCTTCCTTGAGTGGTTGTGAATATTAATTAATTCTGCAAAGCTCTCCACATGGTACCTGCTGCACAGTACTAGTAAGAGCTGGATGAGAGGAAGCTGTTATTGCTTGTTAGTGTTGTGTGTGAGCAAAATTTAGCAAGTTACTTTAAGCCTTAGACATTATTTTCTCTTATACACAACGACCGATGGCACTTTGGATTATAAAAAGTTGAAACGTAAAAAGCTGTGGAGTAGCGACAATGCCAAGTACACAGGGACGTTTCCAGACATTTCTATATTCTATATAATGGGTCCCTAAAAAATTGAGACTTGGCTGTGGTATTCTTAGGTTGTTAGGAATATTTCAAGCTTTTAAATCCGTTATAGCCTATGAAATGCATGATAAATGGAAAATACATTTAATTATAAATGCTCTGAAATGTTATATTGGGAGGAGGGGTGTAGGCAGCTGCTGCTGTGAAATTTGCAACTGGAATTGTTAAAGCTGGGGGACAACGAAGCGTTTTCTTATTCTGAAAAATAAATGGGGGGCACCTCGTCTTACCCACAGCTAGTTAATGCATCGTGTTCTTGGGGAAAGCACCCACTGTATATATTCAGTTGATGTTAGATGATGCGTCAGAGGACATGAGATTTTGCTTCACAAAAGGAAATTTTCATGACATTGATGGTTTGAGGAATGTAGGCTATTGAACAAAACACGGGCCGAACACCCTTCTTGGTCATTTTTCACAAATAATGACCGTTCTATTCTCTTTTTCCTCATGTAAGTGCCCTGCTGTCCAGCCGGCCTGACGGTGACTCAGGTCACCCAATCAGTGGTCAACGTGAGCTGGACTGTTGGGACCGGGGCCCTCACCTACGTGACCGTCCTGGCGTCCCACACTGGACAGTCTCAGTGTCGCACCCATCAAAACCACTGCCTCCTGGGATGCATCACATGTGGCGTCAACTACACGGTGGCCTTAAAAGCCATCAGCGCCACCGGGCTGACTGCAGAATGCGCCTACCAACGCTACGCCTCCAGTGAGTGGATCCTCAACCCAGCTCTACAGCACCCATAAGAGCCTTGGCTATCCATCTTAAGGCCAGGCGTAAGGCCTTCCTTCTCACATAGAAAGATGCTGTTTCTCCTGGGAAAGAGCCCCATGACCAGCTGGTGGTATCTGCTGCAGGGCCTGGGACAGGAGAGTTGAAATATAATTTTGCCAGCCCAGGGGTTGGAGAACAAGTCTGCAGCTAGGAATCCAATGACATGGCTTCGTATAAGCTGTGCTGCCTTATCTTCCCTGGTTCTGTTTCCGCACTGGGAAGAGGAATGGGAATAATCAGAACAGGAAAGCATATGTAACGGGCTACAAATCCGTAAGGTGGTTTATACCATCTTCTGGCCCGTTACTTTTCCTTAGATTTGCTGCCTAAGTTCTCACCCTGATATCTACTTCTGGGATATGGCCCTTTGCTTAGCTTCACATTCCTCCCCCAAAAAATATGTTTTAAAGAATAAATCCAGCCCAGCCAGTGTGGCTCAGTGGTTGAGCATCAGCCTATGAACCAAGAAGTCACCGTTTGATTCCCCGTCAGGGCATATGCCTGGGTTGCGGACTCGATCCCCAGTGGGGGGCGTGCAGGAGGCAGCTGATCAATGATTCTCTCACATCATTGATGTTTCTATCTCTCTCTCCCTCTCCCATCCTCTGAAATCAATCAAAATATTTTTTTTAAAGAAGAAATCCAATGAGCCTGATTATCTATAACTGAATTTTTCCTATTATTATACAACAACAATCCAATGAGCCTGATTATAACTGAATTTTTCCTATTATTATACAACAACATCCTTATTTCAGTTACCGAGGAATCCACCCTTTGGCGCCCTGCTTGACACCCGATGTGTGATCCGCTCAAGGCATTTGGAAAAGAGAAAAAAAGTGCCTCGTTGGCTAGCCCGGGTGAAGTGTGACCCGCAGAGCTGGTCACAGAGCTGGTCACCGGCCTGTGGTGTGAGCAACTGCTCCCCTGGCATCGTTGCGTTCAGCACAATAGGTCTTTTCAGTTAGAGCTGATGGCAGCCAATGATATTTAAATCCAACCCCACGAAAAGCATCTGAAACTGGGGCAGTAGGAAGGCTCTTGACAAGGAGTCTGTGCCTTTGCCTCAGAACTTTTGACTCATCTACACCACGTATTGGCCAGAGGTGACTTTTGGACTCACCATCGCTCCCTCTTAAAAATCCACGCCCCTGGTGATGGAAAAAAGAAAAGAAAAGAAAAATACACACACATGGATTTCTCCCCTTTTCTTTTTTACAGCTTAGTGCATTTACTTAACTTGTTTTTACACATAGATTTCTAACCACGTGGCCCACTGTGGGAAGAACTGAGTACCTCTTCAAACCTTGCTCTCAGCACGTACCCCTTAGCATAAGTTACTGGTATTGTTTCCCCATAGCAGTAAAGGCCATGTTTGTGCGATGGGGGAATAAGCGATTTGTGTGTGTTTCTTTGTTGTCCTTCAGGTGCCTGCTGCCCGCTGGGCGTGAAGCTGTACAGGCTGGGCCCTCACGGCATCCGGGTGGACTGGCGAGCCGCCAGGGGCTCCGCCAACTACAGCACCGACCTCTACGGCTCCAAAGGCATTTTCACCTGCTCCCCAAGCGCCGGCCTCAGTTTCTGTGACGTCACGGAGATACCCTGCGGGGACGTGTATACCGTGATGGTCTCACCGGTGGCTGAGACGGGACTGAAGCTCACCTTCTGTCCCAAAAAAATATACTCAGGTAGAGCAAGTGATGAGTCTACTCAAAACGAACCCGCCACACAATCTGTGAATGGAGACTCAGGGCCACTCATACTTACCTGTGGGAAAGAAGGTCAAAGAGGGGACGATGCCCTGGCCGGTGTGGCTCAGTTGGTTGGGCATCGACCCCTGAACCAGGAGGTCACGGTTCGATTCCCCAGTCAGGGCACGTACCCGGGTTTTGGGCTCGATCCCCAGTGTGGGGCGTGCAGGAGGCAGCTGATTAATATTTCTCTCTTTCTCTCTCTCTCTTCCTTCCTCTCTCTGTAAAATACATTTAAAAACAAAATTAAAAAGAGGGTGTGACATTTCCACATCCTGCAGGCAGATTCTGGCACCTGGGGACGCCCGGCTTCTTGGGAATTGTGATGTCTCATTATTAGTTGATCTGGAGACGCTCCATCTCCCCTCCTCCTCTCTCCTTCAGGAAAAGGACCAGATGTTCGCTGCTTAAATAGTAGAGGCGATTTTTAAATGAGTTTCTGCTTTCAGATTGTTAACACAGTCTTAAGAGAGAACAATAGACGCCCTGGAACGTTGACATGAAGACACTTTAACTGTTACTTGTACGGATTCAGTCTGGTGACTGGGGAAGAGTTGGGGGATCAGAAAAAAACACACGAATTCATAAATCCTAAGCTGGGATTGGCAGGATGTGATCACAATCAGAACAGTCAGCAAGTGCCATCTCACAGTTCCCTGCCCTGTGTTCCAGCCCCTCCCTCCCGCTACCGTGCCCAGGCGTACTCAGATATCGTTCATAAACTTCTAAATAAAAGAAAAGAGATGAGGCAGCCTTCGGACACAGGAAGAGGAGTCAATATTGGCTCAGAGATCTTCGCTGAGAAGCGGAATCTGTAAGGTCCAATTCCGTGGAGGGGACAAGAAGGTTCGGAAGGCTCCGGGGATGGAGCCCGGCCAGTCCCTCTGCAGGGGTGACCCCTGTCCTTGGCTGTCATGCTCTGATTCCCTATTTTTTCATTATCTTGTCCACAGGACGTGCTGGCCCAAAGCACGTCCCTCCGGGAAGTGATAGGATTAGGTTGCTGGGGTGGGGATGCACTCTGAGGAAATAGAGCTTCCAGCTCATAACAGGATTTCATGATCTCTGCGTAGTGTTTTACAGTCGGCCAAGCGTTTTATTTTTTTGTTAATCCTCACTGGAGGATATTTTTCCATTAATTTTTGAGAGAGTGGAAGGGTAAAGGAGAGACAGACAGAGAGAACCAGGGAGGTGAGAAGACACATCGATGGCTGCCTCCTAGACATGCCCCGGCCGGGGCTGGGACCGAGCCTGCAACTGAGGTACGTGCCCTTGATCAGAACTGAAACCGGGACCTTCAGTCCTCTGGCTGACGCTCTCTCCACTGAGCCAAACTAGCTGGGGCTCTACCAAGTGTTTTAAAATGTAAGGAGGGGGGTGTGTCACTTTTGAATTTTATTTTAGCTGCCCTAATAGGTATGTCATGTGACATCTCAATTAATTTTCTATTCCTTATGGCTAATAATGAACATCTTTTTTTGGTTTTTTTTGTGTTTTTTTTTTCCTTCTTCAGTGATGATGATGTGTTACTCTGATAATTAGGACAATATTGTAAATGATAATAATGACTAATAGTTATTGACTATGTGTTGCAACTACTATAAGGGTTTAGATGTATCAATTGATTTTTATAATAACCCTATGAAGTTGGCATTCTTCTTACCCCTTATAGGTAAACTGAGGCACAGAGTAGTGAAGTGACTTGCCCGAGGTCAGATTGCTAGTAGTTATCTCCTTCTCCTGTCACCCAAATTGGTTCTCATTTGTTCTTTTTAAAAAATATGTATTTTGCCAGAACCGGTTTGGCTCAGTGGATAAAACTTCGGCCTGCGGACTCAAGGGTCCCGGGTTCGATTCCAGTCAAGGGCATGTACCTTGGTTGCGGGCACATCCCCAGTGGGGGACGTGCAGGAGGCAGCTGATCCATGTTTCTCTCTCATGGATGTTTCTGGCTCTCTGTCCCTCTCCCTTCCTCTCTGTAAGAAATCAATAAAATATATTTTTAAAAAATATGTATTTTTATTGATTTCAGAGAGGAAGGGAGAGGGAGAGAGAGATAGAAACATCAATGATAGGAATCATTGATCAGCTGCCTCCTACACGCCTCCCTCCCCTGCCCCACTGGGGATCTAGCCCACAACCCAGGCATGTGCCTAGACTGGGAATTGAACCGTGACCTCCTGGTTCACAGGTTGATGCTCAGCCACTGAGCCACGCCCACTGGGCTCTCATTCATTCTTTGGTTTACTTTCCCTTTATTCTTTCTTAAGTTGTATTACCTTAAACATATCAATAAGTGTATTTGAAATGCCGTGTTTTTATTTATTGCAGTCACCTGCTCTGGAAGTACACTGGGAATGGGTAAGTCATTTTTCTCGTGGATGAAATGGAAGGGGACTTTCTTGTTGCATTTTAGGGCAACAATGAAGTCAGGATCAAAGCTGACTCTTCAATTAATCAGGGAGACAAAGGCTAGGGTGTCTGCTTCCGGTTTGCATGGGTGGATATGCCCGGGGAGGGAAAGGGGTGCTGAGAGGGAGACTGGGGTGAAGATAGCGCTCACTGCCTCCTTGGATGTGCTCTGGGCTGACCCCGTCGAGGCTATTCTGGGCACCCCTCGGAGGCCACCGTTGGGCCAGGCCGCGGAGATGACCACACCGAGCCGTGTGTGCCAACCCAGTCAGTGGCATGTGCTGCTTCAGCAGAAATGCTTGCCATGCTCTTTTAGGGGAGGCTTGGTTTGGGGCCTTGGGACCCCTGTCCCCAAGGAGTAATATAAACCCAGACCGCAGACAGGACTTGCGTGCACGTACACACATGCCTAGTCAGACATGGCTGACTTTGGAGCATGTGAGTGGAAATGAGGCCTTCCCACCAGCAAGCCCACCTGCCTGCCCCCAGTCTGTGCCAGCTTCTCATCCGACACCCGTCCACGGGCAGGGATCCGGGCTGAGTCTCGCCCCATCACCTGTTCTCTGCTTCCGCTCCCAGCCCAGTGCTCCTCTGAGCTCAGCAGGACACCCGTGGGTCTGAAACCAGCCCAATCCCTATGAATGTTTAAAGGGCTTCTGCTTCCAGTGGCTGCAAGGAAACAGGCCTAACTTATTAAAAACCAACGGTGAAAAACTTCTAAATTATTAAAAAACGACTTTTAAAGAACTCCCAAGGTACGAATGACCTAGTCTTCAGGGAAATGTATAGGGGCCTAGGTCTGCATTCTTGGAAACTATTTCCATTATTACACTTTGTTTTGTTGTTAATTCTCACTTGAGGATTTTTCCATTGTTTTTTTAAAGAAAGTGGAAGGGAGGGAAGAGGGGAGAGAGAGAGACAGAGAGAAAGCGAGAGACAGCCATACACACGCACACATCAATATGAGAGAGAAACATCGATCAGTTGCCTCCCATACATGCCCCTGACCGGTAACGGAACTCGCAAACTAGGTCTGTGCCCTGACCTGGAATTGAAACTGCAGCCTTTTGGTGTATGGGATGATGCTCCAACCAACTGAGCCACCAGGTCAGGGCTCAACAGCATACTTGCATTTTTTAAAAAAGACAGAGCTGGGTTCAAATCCTGCCTCTATCACTTGCCCTTAGGCAAGTTGCTTCAGTGCTCTCTCAGCCTAGGTTTCCTCATCTGAAAACTGGAATAAATCATCAGCTTATAAGATGTTGTGAGGATGAAATGAGATGTAAATAGTTGGACCTAAGACCCATAGCAAGTATTGAATAAATGGTAGTTACGATGAACTCAGGGTCAGCTTAAGCTCCTATCACACTCCGTTATGTGTCATTTAACATGCGACTTCTAAGGTATTTGCATTTTAACTGTGGTCCTCATGCTGCTTTTGTCGGTTCTCCAACTGTGGTCCCAGGGCCAACAGCATGAGCAGCATCTGGGACCTTCTTAAAGGTGCAGTTTCCAGGTTCCACCAAAGACCTACTGAACCGGAATTTCTGAGAGTGGGGCCCAGCAAGCTCTGTGTTGAGGAGCCTGCAGTGACTCTAAGGCGCGCTCAGGTTTGAGAACCGAGGTCTAATTCAAGGAGGCTGCTCCGATGCTGGAAAGGTGATGCGGGCGGGAGGGAGAGGCAGACCATCCATTCGAGGAGACAGGCTTTAACCCGAGGTACACTGCAGCGCCGTGCCTGCCATCACTTTGTGCCTTTGTCGTCTTCAGCGCCCCGCTGTTTCAGTGTGTCCTACACGTTCCAGGGAACCTTGGGGGGGTGGGGTGTGGGGGGGGTGTTTCCTCTTCACAATTCCCTGGCCAATTGGTTTATGTGTTCTCTACACAATGTTCTTCCTGAACCATTGAAATTCTGGAGCTCCCTGAGCACAGAACAGGTGGCCTGGAGAGGAGAGAAGGTCCTTCCCTCTGGGTTTGCAGTCTGAGCTCAGAGAAGCTCTTCCTGGGAGCGTGCATTTTAAGAAGCAGGACCCAGACCCCCTGGTTAGTCACACTCCGCTGGTCGGTTTCTTCTTTTCCCTTTGAACAGTTCAGACTCTTAATTGCCGGTTCCTCCTCCCTGTGAAATAGCATTTCAGATCAAAACACTAATCTAACGCTCAGAGACGTCTGAGGGCTTTTTAATGTAAGCAAATGTCTGCCTATGTCATGCACCGTGTGGCTTCTCCCCTCCCTTGTCGCTCTCAGTGATTTACAGAGGGAAGAGACATGCAGAGTGACCGAGCGAGCGAGGCGCCGTGACAACGGAGGCTTGGCCTAGTGAGTAATTGGAGTCGGCACGGTGTGATTCCAAGGCAAAGTGTTTTGTCTTTGTCTTTCAAAGTTCTCGCCTCTTATGTTTTGCAGGGTTGTCTCAAACGTTAGTGTGACTAGAGATGGACAAGCTCCATTAGCCTACACAATGCATCTAGCACAGGACTAGCTCTTTAGAAGAACAACTCTGACTCCGGAAGGCGAGGTCAGGATCCCGGCCGGTGTGGCTCAGTGGTTGAGCGTCAACCTACGAACCAGGAGGGCACGGTTCCATTCCCTGTCAGGGCACATGCCCGGGCTGTAGGCTCGATCCCCAGTGGGGTATGTGCAGAGGCGGCTGATCAATGATTCTCTCTCATCATTGATGTTTCTCTCTCTCCCTTCCTCTTTGAAATCAATATATTAAAAAAGAAAAGAAAAGATGTGCTGCGGAGAGGACCAGGGAGAGATACAGACCCAGCAAGTCCTCCAGAAGGCTGCCAGCGTGAGCCGTGCCCTGGGCAAGCCCTGTACACATGAAAGGTCCGCTTAGGAGATTCTTTCTGAGATTTCACATCCAGACACGCCACGGCCGCAACCCATCTGTTCCATCGACACCAGCCCTGGCCATGTAGCCCTTTAACCATTCAAGGGCTGGAAAGGTTCACTCCCAGAGAAGGCGACATCAGGCCACATACAGAGACTCCGCTCATCCCTAAGCAAACCACCCGGACTTTGGGACTTCGGTCCTGCGAGCGGCTTGCAGGGCGGGCCAAGCCACAGCGTTGGGTTGTGGGACCTCTGCTGGAGCCCCTGGGAGAGCGGAGTTGTTGGCCAGTTGCTGGAAGGATCGCAGCCATGCTTGTGAGTGTGCAAACACTTGGGATGGAGAGACAGCTGGGGCAGGGCCTCAAACTGTGGCAGGCTGACATACGTGTACCTTTTCGGGGAAGGACCATCAATCTTGTTGGCTGTATCCCCCTCTCACACTGTAACCGTTTTTTTCATCTCTGGAGAGGAAAGGCAATGATTATATGTAATATAAAGCTGTTGTACCTGGAAAAATGTGTGTTCTTTGAATGCTAGTAGCTGTCATATAAAATAGTACTATAGTAACACACACACAACTAAAGTGGCCACACAGAGGAGAGGGCTGGGTTTAGTTCACGTTTGTTCCAGTGAATGAATGGGACTGGGACAGGTGTGTCCACATCACTTGGGGAACTCATTAGTTAACACACATTCCCGGGTACCACCCCTGGTGACTCTGACTCAATAGATCTGGGACTAGGCCTGAGAATCTGTATTCGTGACAAACTCACCAAGTGATTCTGACATGCGGCCAGGTTTGGGGATCTTAAAAGGCTTGCCTTTTCCAGCTCTTCCTTGAAGCAAATTTCAGTGGTGGGAGACTGAGAAGTGTTCAAAAATAACTGAGGCTTAGCATAAAGTGACTCCATTTTGGGCGGTTTGTGTTGTTTTTAACAATGCCATATGGTGGGCTTGAACCCATATTATGGCTGATTCTATATTTCATTTCCCTTTTCTCTCCTAATCTTAAAAGGCTTGCCTTCGCCAGCTCTTCCTTGAAGCAAATTTCAGTGGTGGGAGACTGAGAAGTGTTCAAAAATAACTGAGGCTTAGCATAAAGTGACTCCATTTTGGGCGGTTTGTGTTGTTTTTAACAATGCCATATGGTGGGCTTGAACCCATATTATGGCTGATTCTATATTTCATTTCCCTTTTCTCTCCTAAAGAGCAAAAACTGCAGGTTATCTTAAAGACTGCTCTATTTGTAACTTTCTGTTTAACTCGAGCCTGGTCTTTTTCCCACTCCAGCACTGGCTGTGCATCCCCACTAAGTGACTTAACTTCAGTAAGCCTCAGTTTCCTTGGTAAGGGATGCTTTGAAGGTCATTGAGCTAATCTACTTACCACGGGTGCCTGGCATATAGTAGGCCCTCAGTAAACATTAACTATCATTATTAGCAGTAGTAACAATTTCCACTTCCCTATGTGACCAACCTGAATTAAGGCAATTGGTTCTTTGCAAATCTCTGTAGGGAAGCCTACTTTCTGCCAGTGGGTGCGATGGTGAGTTGGGTCACTCAGCAAGCAAACTGATCTAATTCATGATGGATTGCTTTGAATTTCAAGTCTCAAAAGAACAATTTCAGGAAACAGACCTCTGCCTAAACAGACCTAGGCCCTAAACTTTCTAAGTCTGAGCTCAGATGATCTCCTCCGGGAATCAGCTTTCAACAGTAATTCCCTTCTTTGGGATCCTAAAGCATTGATAGCCTCTCCCATACAATTTGGCACATGAATTTATGTTTAGCAAGTAATCATTGTTTTATTGGTTCATTTATGTATAGCATCATCATTAAAGCATTTGCTTTTGAAACCAACTTTTGACTACTTTCAGCATTCCAGGAATTGAGCTCTGTGATTTGACTGTAAGTTCTTCAGGAGTGGGTTTAGTTCCGGGCACACTGGAGGTACACCTCATAGTTCTACACCATTATTCTGTCCTTGAAAATGACATAAAATCAACTTTTGGAGGGGGGTGCATTTTCCGTTCGGTTGTTGAAGTGGCTACTGAGTGAGTCGTTTCGCGAAGGGAAGAATTCTTTTGGAAAGCGAAGAATCCCCCCTTCTTCTTGTCTAGCACCCACGGATTCGAAAATATCTTAGGTGCCGTGAGCAGACAATCTGTCGGTACGTTTTGTTTTGCTTCTGACGTCACGCGAGATTGACGTGACCCCGCCTCCCGCTAGGGGGCGCGCGACTGCCCGCGGAGCTTCCACCCGCACTGCGCAGCCTCCGTCCAGGGGTGGGCGGGGCTTCCGT